TACTACAAAAAGTGACACTACCAAAATTTTCCTCTACAAGTATCAATGGTGATGACAGGAAAAAATCTTAATCTTCCACCTGCTGCACTAACTGAGAAATCAAACTAGCATGTTTCTTCTTTCAGCATTTTGTTATTTTCCATTAAGTGTACACAGCATTTTCAAGAGTACTATCATGGGTAGAGGTTCATAAGGGTGGAGATCTTGAGCAGTTAAGTTAGAGGATAATTCCTTTAAAATTAGTCTTATTGTAAATCTAAGTAATGGTTCAAGGCACCAAGTGAAATTGCATTGCATAATGCCAAGTTTTAAGGACACTGCCTCAGAGGACACTAATGAAGTTGTGGCACATCCCTCACTTCAAGTCTTCCCTTGCTGTACTGCACTTCCTCAGGCATTTGTAAAGCTGATAGTTCAGCATTCACCATTCAACTGAAGTCATAACTAGCTCTTCTCATTACACAGCTTTCTACAGTAGGGCAGTTAACTAGGTGATGATGGCAAAGTAGGGCATCTGTGCTTGTAGCCAAAGAATTTGTCGAACTTCATTCCAACAGGAAGTTGGCAGAATGTTACATGTTAAGCCTGATTTTTTTTTTTTAATATATGCAAAGCTATAAAGGAGTGGGAAGGAAACCTACAGATTTAATACTTTAGATAAAATATTTCTTAAATCTCTATTCCCCTGACAGGTGATAATTACCCATGTAAACACCCTAGTAGTCCAAAGAATTTAAAAGAGGAGGAAACCTTACTAAATCTGATTTTTTAAGAAGCACTAGCTAGGTAAAATACAGCTAGACAATCAATGCTATCTTATAAAAAAGGACAACTCCTAGGCCTCTAGCCTGGACAAACTATTTTCCTTCCCCTTTCCAACGTGTATTTGCATACACGTCTATGCGTGCATCACCAGCATTAATGAGTAAGAAAACCATCTGCTAGGCTCTGCTAGCTCCTGCATGCAGACGCTCTGCATGCAGAGGCTCTGCCACTTCAGGCCCTCTCACACTGGAGAGCTGGAGACAGCACAGCGGGAAGCTCCTCAGCCCCAGTTCACCTTGCAAGGAAGGAACGAGTACTGCATTACTGCCATCTGCAGTGTCCCCTTGGCAGCTACGATCCACAAAAGACCATGTCCATCATTCAAGCAGTCTAGCATCCACAGAGAAAAGCCAAAAAGATTTTCCTGTATCCTCCTGCTACCCCTAATAATCTAGGTAAAAAGCTGCCTCCTATTCAGCATCTTAAACAGCTCTACACTAGTTCAAGGACAGGCCATTGGTTTGCCCACTCCTCTTTAGGCAGAGAATCTTACTATACTTTCTTGTTAATGTAGAAGTCTTCTACACCACACTGAAAGATATTCCTATTCAGATAATCCCACAATAAATTCACCTGTATCTTTTTTTTTCTGGAAGGAGTTTTCCCAGGAGCAAGGGGAGGGGAAGCCACTGAGGATTTCCCCCTCCCAAGCAGAAGCCAAGCCAACAAAACATGCACTGAATTTCCTTATCACTATGAGCAAGTCAGTGACTCTTACATGCTGTTTGATCCTCTGAGTTCTCCACGTTTGGGAAGAACTGATCTTTCCAGGACAACCCAAATGAAAAAAAAAGTCTGGACAAGCAAGTGGGTAAGAAAAAAAAAAATCACTCCAGGCACAGAAATCTGCATTTTCACTGGCTCTTACATAGAAGAGAGCCAAAGTGCTTCCCAGCAGCAGCTTCTTTCCAAAAGAGAAGCCACAGAAGATGTTTTACCTTTTCTATGATACAAATGGTTTTCACACTGAAGTTGCATAATTAAATGAAGCCCAAACTTCACAGGCTACCTGTAATACAGATAAGCCCGTTTACATTGCAAATAAGCCATGAATTTTGCCACAGAGGGCACCATCTAATATGTGTAGGTATATTGCCCAGCAGAGTGGGGTTCAGGTACCTAACACACCTAGATGTGCCTTCAACATCAATGCATACCCACCCCACAGTTTTAATATTCAGGTCAAATCAGAAGGCAACACAATTGGCACCAGCTTAGACAAAACTAAGACTGCTATGACTTGTTTTGGAGGTATGGATCTGACATTTGGTTAAGATATTTTGTAAACAGTTCAATAAAGTATTCCATAAAGCATTCCACAGGATGTTGTTCTTTTTAAAAAGGTATCAGGTAATAGGTTTTAATATCACTACCCATACAGAAAAACTTAAGCCAGCATTTTGCAAATCTCCCTTTTCAATATATTTTATTTCAAGAAAACAGTAGGTGGCAACCCTTTTTAGAGATCAGAGAAATATATCCAATGACTAACAGACTAGTACAGAAGCAGTAGATCAGAGGTATGTGTCATGGCCCCAATCTAGAACATCACACATTAGGATCAGAACAACTCCCTCTGAGTGGGAACACTCTCAGTTCAGCCACAATGTGAGAGTCCATCACCTAACCAACAAGGTTCCTTCCAGTTTTGTAACTAACAGGAAACAAACGCTTTCAACCATCAATCTAGTGAATTACTTAAACATTTCTACAGAAGTCCCAAAAATGTACAGAGAGAACAAGCATCTAGGTCCTGGCACTGAGATCTCATAAGTGACTCCCTCCACCTCAGTTGTTGCCCCAGAGGCAGCAAAGGCCTCAGACATCAACTTTACCTCTGCTAAGTATTGCCTCCAGGCTGATCTGATGAATATGTGAATTACAAAGTGCTTCACAAAGTAGGCTGGGCATTTCTATTGGTTCACAGATAAGGCAGACACTCTTGATAAGTCTCTTTTCAAGTCACTGCCACACAGACATTTTAGTTCTTTTAACGGGAGAAGCAACTGCCCAACGTACAAATGCCTTAGTCTTAAAACATACTAGGGATATCCCTAGCCTCTGCCCCTTCTGCAGTGTGGAAGGAAGTAAAACCAGTCTCTTTAAACAACATCTTGGGATAATCCAGTTATGAAAACTTGGCCTGAAACCCAGCTTGTGTCCAAGGAAGAAGAGTAAAGGAGAAGGGAGTAAAGCAGTTTTTCCCCTCAAGTCACACACACTAACACTGAAAGATGCTGTTGAAGTTAAACAGGGCTGAATGTGGATAGAGTCAGAATTTTACTTGTAACATGAACAAGCAACATTTACAGATACTTTTTTCTAACTAAACAGGTTTTCTTTATTTTGGTGAAGAGGTCATCATTTTCGCTCATAATAATGCAAATGTTTCAGATTTTCTTTAGCTAAGGACATCTAAGGTACAAATCCCTGAAAATTTACACATCAGCTTTAGTCTCACTGCAAGGGTCACTGTCTGGTATTGTTTATAACCTGCAATTCTACTTTCATGTCCTGGGAAGGCAGGAAAGGAGAAGCACCAGTGTCATCACCCACATCTGTCTACTCCATTTTCACTTTTTTCCTCAGACTTTTTTTTTTTTACAATCAATTTTTAGTTGCAGAAATGCTATGACTGTTTGCATTGATTACTTAGCAAGGTGAAAGAGGATTAAGAATTCATAGACTGGCAGCATAAAGTAAGTCACTGCATACCCCCCTTATCATTTTGATTTGGAAGACCTGGCGTGATTCTCTATAACATCATCCTTTTTTGCTGGCTATATAGTCACCAGCACTTCCAACTTACCACCCTAGACAGATGCATTTTTTGTTTGTCCAATCCAAGACATTACATGCAAAGATACAGTGTACCTGCAATACTACTGGAACGCAAACCCATTCCCTTTCTCACCATCACCCAAAAGACAGCTTCAAAAAACTTGGAGCATGAAGTGACTTTCCTCAATTTTCCACCAAAGCAGAAAATGGGAGACTGCCTGTGGGCAAGAAGTCTGCCAGAAGCACATAGGGAGCTTTCTGCAGCAAAGCATCTATCCATGTCTTTCATCCATTGTTATTGTGAGCCATGATTCACCATTTGTTGAACAGCAGTATGTTTAAGTTTCAAATAGTGTAATCCACTTTATTAAAATCTTATGAATCCAGAACAGGTAGGGCATTCTAACCATAATTACTGCCATCTTATTTTTGTCTCAGTCATCTTTAAGTGGCTCTGCATTGCTTTTTAAGTTCAAACCTTTTCAGAGGCGAGCTTTATCTTATGGCTTAAACAAGATCCTAGTTAGAGGGCAGTCAACATCCAAGTGATCAGCTAGCAAACCCTGCTGTTTAATGAAGAATGGGCTGGTTGGAACATGGGATTGCCTTCAGGCACCAACACCTGTGAAACATGTTCAAAAGTCTGCATTCCCTGATAAAATTTATTTCATCTCCTCTCTTTCAAGACTTCAGAGCCCAAACAATTGCTCAAATGAATATCCTCACTCTTCTGATAATGGAATAAAACAGTAGATGAGAAGAAGTAACTCTTAAGATTTCTGCTTCTAGAAATTCAAGAAACTGAATTTAGTAAACAAGAGGTGCAGGAGTTACAACACAAATGAAAAACCAGGAATCCCAAATATTAAAGACCTAGAGACTAGAGCCCTAGGAATCCAGTAATTCATAGATAACCTAAATAGTTGTTTCAGCATTTGATTTTAAGGATTTGTAAGAGAAACAAGACACTAGTAGCCTAAAAAAGGGAGTATTGAAAAGCAAGTTATACCATCTTCTTTGAGAAAGTAAGGAGGAATCACATAGTGCAGTGTTCAGACTATATGCAATATTGCATTTCTGCAACTAAAGCATACAACACAATTTCTCAGTTAAAGCAATTCAAGCTCACATCTAAAATGTTATCAAGCACATAAAAAAAATCACAATTTTCTATACTTAATCATGATCTACCTCTCTAGATTTAAAACAGACCACAAAGGACTAACCGTCTGCTACATGATGAAGTCCTAGTCTATTCTATTGACATTAGCAGAATGCTTAAGTTACACTTGGAAAGGGAAAGTTACACTTGGAAAGGGAAAACATATCATGCATCTGATCAACAAGAAGTCAAAACACTTCAGTTTCTTTAAATCATAATTAACACTACCTACCTTTATGGTTTTAGTTTGAAGTCTCAATCCATTCAGAGTGTTGATAGCTTTTTCAGCATCCTTGGGGTCAACGTAGTTCACAAAACCATAACCCAAGCTCTGTCCTGATTAAAAAGAGGAACAAGAGTGATCATTAGTACTGCAGTACTACACAATGGATAACTAACAGTGTTTAAAACCTATATAGACACACAGAGCAAAAATTGCTTATATTAAAGAACAGTATCTGCTTCAGATAACAATGTTTCAAAGGCCACAACACCTAATTTTTCCAGTAAGGTTAGTGGTTTTAAACTAGCTTCCTCTGTTCCCATGGACTGCCCTAAGTTCAACTCAGAAATGGCTACAGTCAGATTAATGAAAGACTTAAATTGCTATGCAAAATAGGTTCAGGAGTTTGTTATGATCTGTTAGAGACTAGAGGAAGTGCAGGAGCTTCAAGGTTAAGACAACATCAAAAATCCACTACTCACTATTGAACTTTTTAATTAACATAGAAAGTATAACAGCAAAATTCTGGACCAGTGCTTGAAAATGAGTGTTTCAAATATACTTCAATATCAGAATTTGAGCCAAATTTGAAGCCAAACATTTCTACAGATGTTATTCACACACTAAACAGAGCCTCTCAGTAACAATGAGTTTAAAGGTTCATTTTATTCCTATATTCAAAACAACTGGTGCAAGTAACTGGTCATGAGCTAATATCATCCAACAGAGATGCAACATTTTCAGGTTTTTAGCATTGGTAATTCAGATGATAGATGGACATAAAGCATTTTTAACTAGCTCTTAATCACTGAACCACAGCCTATTTCTAACAGTGTATTCTGTCTAAGCACTTCTTATGAAACACTTGAGTTTAGCAGTAGTCATCTCTTGACAACTTCAAAACCTAAAGTACACCATCCTTAACTAGCTGCCTTAAGCATACCCCTTTAAAAATATTTAGTGCATAGGAACGCAAATAGGTAGAAAAAATTAACATAGCAAAAGGATACCACCTAGTAATACTGTCCTTCATTAGCACGGAACTTTTCAGAAACACTCTCCCATACTCCTTGATGACTTTTTTTTTTTTGAAACTGAAACAACAAGGTCCAAAAGCCAGTCAACAAGCCAAAGGGAAGCATCCAATATATCTAATTCACAAAATGCTAGTTTGAAAGATTAGCTTGGAGATACAACAATATAAAAGGATAAACAATATTACATAAAGCACAAATGGCAAACTCATTTATTGCCAGGAAAGATATAAAAGAACCTATACTGTATCAAGTTCTTGTATGGTATTTATACAGTCTGTATTAAATAGTAAATAAAGTAGAAGACGGATGGGAAGTTTGTAATTGATTAAATAAGACAAGAGACAGTTTAGTAACAAGCCCACCACTGCTGGCATTCATGATTTTGTACAAGTTAGTCCACCATAGCACCAAAAGTTAGAGGACACTACTGCCACCCCACCCCCCAAGTGACCCCCATTCTTCCCAAAACAGCGCACACAAACAAATTGGCTAGATGAAGCCATGAAAAGGTCAATATATGCAAAGTTAAAGGAAAACATCCAAAACCCAACTGGACAAAGTCCTGAGCAACCTGCTCTAGACAACCCTTCTCTGAGCAGGACTACATGATCTCCAGAAGTGCCTCCAACCTCATCAATTCTTTGTTTCTGTAATAAACAATATGAAAATAGGCAGAAGCATTTCTGTATTCACTTACAGTTCTACCTAGATATAGCTAAGTTCCTTATCCTAGAAGTGCCTCTTTCCTTATTAGTCTGATTACAGTAGAGCAATTTCTATACCTGTCACCTCCATCACTCCCACTGTCTGCAGAAACTCTTTCCAGCAGCATCTCCAAAAAAGAGCAATTTAAAGGAATGTCTCTTCTTGTGCATGGCTTTTATTTTAGTCTTATCTCCTAATACAGAAATGCTGATTTTTGGTGTTATTAATCTCCTAGGAAGCAACCCATTTAAACCACAACCTTAAAAGAAGTTAAAACCTCTAAGAGAAAGTTATTTCATGTACGACATTCCCCATACACTCACCAATTCCAGAGTGAACAGAAAAAGACGTGCAGAAATTATTTCTACTACCTCTCTTTTCATATGATCTATTTTTCATATTACAAACACCCAGACCACTGTAGGCAAAGAGCATACCCAGCTGTTACAAAAGATATCATTCATGACCAATTCTTCTGGAGACATTCTATTAGTTAAGCTTGATAAATATTAGTAGACTAACTTAGGAAGCTACACAAACAAAATCCAGTAATTTATTGAGGACAAGCTTGAACTCCTTTCTGCAGGTTTATTCTGCAATTCTGCAATTAAAAAAAGCTTTCACTGTGAGGGTGATGAAACGCTGAAGCAGGCCACCCAGAAAGGTTGTGAAGTCTCTGTTCCTGGAGACACTCAAAGTCTGACTGGACATGGTCCTGGGCAACCTGCTCAGGGAGAACCTGCTTGAGGAAGGAGAGTTGACTAGATTATGTCCAGAAGTCCCTTCCACCCTCAATGACCCTGTGAATGACTTCTTTTTATTTAATTTAGTTTTGTTTAATTTGGGCTATCATCTAAAATTCAAAGGTGTTTAGATCTGACATTCCAAAGGCTTTATATATTTGAAAAGGTTAAGAAAAAGTAAAACTTTTTAGAGAGATTGAAATTTTGCCTGAAAACTAGTGGCTCAATTACACATTACCAATAATTCAGTCAAAAAAATCACTTTCTTTGCAGAAGCACATAAGAAAGATTAATCTTGGCTCTCAACAAGCAATACAAATAATTGGAAATTGAACCTGATTTCTGGAATCAGATGCTGGAGGGACCACTCTAAGTCTTCCTGCTTGTCTTAAGGGAAGATGCTTGTTTAAGAGGTTTGCCAGTTCATATACAGATGGCCAAGTTCTAGAAAATCCAGACAAGCGTTTCACAAAATGCAGTCTTCTACTATTCAAACCATTCAGGTATTTCAAATGACCCATCAGATATCTCAATTATTGCAAAGTATGTCTGACAGCTGTTGGTCTTTCTCAACTGGTGGGAAGTGCCAACTGGGTTACAAGAATTTAGAAGCTCAGTTCTTCTTAAGTGTTTCATTGATGTACAGGACTTCAGTCCAAGCTTATGCTAGTACCACTGCCGCTGTACAAGCCAGAGAGAAGTCCCATCTGATTGTGGATTTCAGGTGGAGAAAAAGCAGCATACCCATTGCACACAAATTTTATTCAAATAAAATGAGAGATACCTGGCCAGTATAATTCAAACAAGTTCTCCTTCTGTGCAGCTTTTTCTCCCTCCTCAATGTCTAAGCATTTTGCTTTCAAGACAAACCAAGTAGAAGCTAGATGCACTTAAACCAAGTCAGCCACCACTTGGAATATTTAAAAAACAGGAACTTCATTCTTTATTAATTATAATGACTAATTTGTATTGCCTGAAGCCAAAGATTAAACTCAACACTGTCAGAAAACAGCTCTGAACTCTTCCATCTGTGCCTCTTCTACACCAAACTCCATTCACCAAGGCAAATCTCCTGCAGAACACACGTTTGTTTCCAAGTCTAGTAAGACACAAAGTATATGTTGTGGACTTAGACGCATAAGAGTGATGCAAGACAGAAGGTATACTTATGGCTGTCCACAAGTTAAATAATCCTCAGATTTAAATGTATATAAAAAAGCAGCTTAGTCTCCTACTGTTTTAAGACAGGGTCAGCTTCATCTGGCTCTTGCCTCAGCTTTGTTTTTCCAACTTCTGCTTAATGACACTATAGTCTGAAAAACCTCTGACACATCTCCAAGGGAGCTGTCCTGGTGCTCTGTCTACTGTTATGTGTTTCAGTATTCTGAATATCCAGTTTAGCCTTTCATAGATCTTCAGTATTATGGCCTACTCAACCTCAACACAAAAAAGACTATCTGTGCACATCAGCTATTTATTCCATAACTCAGACCTATAAACAGTATTAAGTTTAGCTTAGCCTAAAGAAAGGAATGACTGAGTTTCTTATTTTTGTGAGTTACTTGTGCCAGTAACAAGAAAACATTCACCACCTTCAAGGAAAATACTCCACTTATTTGCAGAGGTGAGCAATACTTCAAAAGTTACATGCTCAAACTATCAGTTGAGCTTCTTCTCCTCAATAGTTCTTGTAGCTGTTTCACAGCACTGTTTAAAAGCTGTTTCTGTACGCTTTCTACTAGATTTTATGCTTGGGACACTATGAATATTAGACAATGTGGTGCAGAATAAAACAACAGTTAGCTAAATCATTGGTAAAAGAAGAATTCACCTGAAGTAGAAAAAGTCAAAATGACAAAATGATCTGGAAGGAATGAGGACATAAATAAGGAAAAGCTGTTTGACTTGAATTTTGTTTCAACAAAATCTGATTAAAAAAACAAAACCTACATAGCAGTAGAATTGTATCTCGTAAGCCTGTAAGACAGCAAAGGACTTAAAGCAAAGGTTATGATTTGAAAGTTTATATTCATTAATTACATTTTATGTTTTATGTAACTGACACTTGCAACAAAGTCAAATTCAAGCATAAGTGGCAAAAAGTCCTTTCAGTCAGGCATCTCTTTGAACCTAGGCATGCTATATCTACCACTAAGTGGGTCACTGACAAATGTTCAACCTCTATGTATGTGGCCTACGAGAAAACGTGAACTGGAAAGCACTATGCTACTCACTTTAATAGGGGAAACTGTTCCATTTATGTTTCAAGTTTATGAGCTTCATAAATATCACTTCGCCACCACGTATGATGATGATGCAAATTAAAGACTAATTTATTAGATAGTGCCATGTTACTTTTTGGCATTACAGTCAATATGCAGAATGGATTTTGAGAGGAGAGGGGCAAAAAGTAATTTCAAACAATTTAATTCTAATCAGTCTTTGAAAGGACTACTCAAGAGACTGAGTGGAGATCCACGTGCACACTAGAAAAGTGTAGAGAAAATAATTTAACATTAAGTAAGAAGCAAGTAAAAAACACAGTGATTCAGTATTTAGGGAAGAAAAGTAGACAGACTTACAAGCACCGGTCAGCAAAAGACCAAAAAAGATTCAAGTAGAAAGAAG